GGCCTCGGGAGCGTCAAACACCGATTCGGGATGAAAAAATGGTCCTGGGGAACGCATGGGTCGAATTTCCTGGGTCGAATTTTATGTTTATGTCTCGGAAGCTGGGCGAAGGCTGCCAAAACCGTGGCTGCTAAAACGGCCCTCCCCGAAGGAAAAAACAACTTCCCGGAATGAGGCGCGGCACGCGAAACAGTCAACGGGCTTCTTCCCGGAAGGACGAAGACAACTTCCCGGAGGTCGATTTTAGCAGCCACGGATTTAGCAGCCCTTGCGCGGCTTCCGATATTCGGCGTTTCGACATATGGCGGGAGGGGGGGGGAGGTGGGGGGATTCTGGCTCCGGGCCTCTGCTGAATGCGACTGCTTGCCACAGTGCGTCCTGTGGGGGAGACTCCACCTGCTTGAAACAGACGCCACACACAGCCAAGATCCACTCCATGGGGGCGGAGGGGGTGCGAGGGCCAGCACCGATCGGCAAAACAATGAATAAGAAAACGATCGCCATGAGGGACAAAACGCTGCATTAACATACTTTGTCTGAGGTCCGCGCGAATTTCTTGGATCCTTGGATCGGCGCTGGACCCCCCCCCCCTGGCGCGCGGAGCGAGCCAGGGGCGGCGCCGGAGGCGCCGCCAGGGGAGCCCACCGCCGATCCAAGATCTTCGCTCGGACCTCGAGCATCTCTGTCCTTGCCAATCTCTGCTCCTCGAGATTTTTCGTTCCGACGCTGAGCTCCCTCCTCGCGCCCGAAGCCCGCGCGCAGGCGGCGCGCCAGACGCGCCAGGGAGGCCACCGCCGATCCAAGAGATCCGCGCCTTGTCCTCCGAGAAGTTGTGTTTGCGCAATTGTCTCTTCTTCGTGGGCTGCCGCGCTTGCGCCGCCGCCGCCGATCCTAGGGAGGAGCGGGCCCGAGCCAAGATGGCGACGGCGGAGGAGATGATGGGCCGATTGTCCACCACCACTACCATAGGTAGGAGAGGGAGGGGGAGGAGGAGGATGAGAGGAGGACGAGGAGGAGGAGGAGGAGGAGGAGGAAGAGGAGGAGGAGGAGGAGGAGGAGGAGGAGGAGGAGCGCCAACCGAGTTAGAGCAACAACTCCTTCATCACCACCGAGCGGAAGCTAGCCTGCCGCGCCCTTGCGCGAATGGCCTCCGCAGCAAACTTCCGAGCTGCTCGCCTCCCGAGAACCCCTCTCCTGCGGCAGGCGTTGAAAGCAGTGAACAAAAGATCAGAGGCAAGAGCTATGGCATGCTGCTGTTCACGAGCAAGACAGGGGGAGAGAGTGGCAGAAGAGGACGGCCACCTGTGGGGCAAAATACTGGCAAGGGGGTCAATCCCCCAGGACGGGGGGAGCTGGGGAAGCAGTTTCCTAATACAGGGAACTGCAACAGGACACGAGAAATAGTGGGGAATGGTGTCGTTGCCAGGGCCCGAGCACCCGAAAACACACTGGGCAGTAGCTTGTCGGAACCTCCTAGTCGTTGGCCAGGCATTATATAGAGATTTGAGGATGGATGTAATAACAAAACTAGGGAGCTTCTGGCCTACAGCATTCACACGAATAATAGTCAGATCAGCATCAGCAGGAGTACAGGTCTTATCCCAATATAACATTCTATGGATGACGAGTTCGGCAGGAACGACATATTCACGTTTCCGAAGAAGGAACTTGGTGATAGCTTGCTGTAGTAGTTTGGGTGGCTTGAGCGAGGGGGCATAAGGAATGGCCATATATCTATCATATTCAGCTTTCATGAAATAAAGGATAGACTGCTTGAAAAACAGGTGCAACTTGTAAGCAGGGCAATATTCATCATCGCCTTCAGCTGCAGAGAGCCGATCACATATCACCTGAAACTGCTCAGACCTGATCGCTGTCCTCAACATTGAGGCTCGGGCGAGAATACTGATGGACCTGCATTCGAGCGGCAACCCCAACGCCTTCAAGTGGAACATGGCTTTGGGGGGGAAGGAGTGGCGAGGGGCCCGAGGCAGACGCTGATGACTTTCTCTTTCTTGCCTGATCAAGGCTTTGCTGGGTGGGTAAAATTGTCCCACATGCGAGCAGACCGGCACAGCATAAGTGTTGAACGCTTGGATGCTGTTCACAAAACTGAGACCCAAGTTGAGCACGTCACCGGTGCGAGAGTAAAGCTTTTTGGCCACAGGGTCCCAAGAAGAGCGGAAGCCATCCCAACCGATAGTGATCCCAAGAAGCTTCCCAGACCTTTGAATAAGGAACTTAGAGACATTGAGCCCACGCGTTTGAAACCCTTGGATGACCTCATTCGCCTCAGCGATGTTGATCATCACTATCACACACTTCTGAAGGTTGAGGTGCAGTCCTGTAACAGCACCTGAGACCAGCAGCCGCTTGATGATGAAGGGCAAAGACTTAAACAGGTCCCTGGCGACAACCGACAGGTCGTCCGCAAAGGCACTGAGCTCGAACTCCAGACGAGGCCGTAGCTGCAGGATATATCGGACAACGGGGTCCAGGACCAAGGCGAACAAAACTCCGCTCAACGGACAGCCTTGTTTCATGCCCCGAAGGGCTTCGTAGCCAAACTTTCCAAAATCTCCCAGGGTAATGTGCGTCCAGACATCTTCGTACAATGCAGCAATGGCACCCGTCATCCGAAAGGGAAGCCCCATTCGGTGCAGAACAAAAAATATCCAGCTGTGCCAGACGCTCGGGAAGGCGTTCTTAAAGTCGAAGAGGGCGACACCGCTCTTCAATTCGTGAAAGACCACGCCCCAGACCGTCATCATTCCCTCGATCGAGATGATATTGTCATTCATCATCCTCCCCTTCACGAATCCCCTCTGGACGACATGGCAGGTTTCGGCGGCGACGTGGTTAAGGACCGAGGCGATGGCGGCACTGACGAGTTTATTGTCCGTATTCGATAACGACAAGGGACGAACGGCATTGACGTCTCTCACCTCCTCCCCTTCATTCTCGATCTCTCCTTTCGGTAAGAAAACTGCACGGCAATGGTTAAATTGAGGGTGAAGACGGCCTGATCGAAGGATGTGACGGTACAGGTCAAACAAGGCGGTACGGGCGACCAAACCACCATTCCGCCACGCAGAGTACGGGACTCCGTCTGGGCCTTCAGCTGAATCATGCTTCTTCGCCTGAAGCAGCTCAAAGAAGGCGGACTCCTCCAGAATCCAATCGTATCTCTGGTGAGATGCAGTCACATACTGTTCACCTGAGCCATCTACTGTTTGGATGAACCCAACCAGCGGATGGGCGTCCCCTGGAGTATCGCTATCGGCAAGATTTTCAGGTTCATGTTGATTATCAAAAACTTGTCCCCAATGACGGGCCAGAAGATAAGCAGCCTCGTTAGGATCAGAATGCACCTCACCATCAGGACCACGGATAGCAGAGAGCCGTATGCGCGGCCGTGCCGCGGCCCATGCAGACGCCAGGCGGCGAACTCTACGAATAGCCTGCTCTGCAGCAACGGAACCCTCGGGCATATCACGCAAAACCTGTTGCTCCTCCTCCTCATATATTGATATCATAAGTTCTGCTAGATGAGTATGAAATGCACCTTGATCTATCCAACACATGGTACTCGGATTAAAAAACGTAAACAATTTGCGATATCCACGACAGGCACGGAAGGCGTGCACACTGCTGGCAGAGCGGGCGGCGCGAACAAGCTTGAGGGAGCAGGCCGCTCTCTCTGGGTCAGACTTGGCTCCTGCTACCTCCACGAAGCGGCGAACATCCCCAGCAGCGATGTGAAATATCTCTTTTATCTCAGCAACTCGAAGTTGGGGTTCAGTACTTAGACTAGTTGCAGCAATATGATCTTCCACGTATTCCTGAAATTGGGGGTGACGAGCAATCCAAGAAGGGATGTTCTGCATGCTGGCTTCGGGGGCGCGAGGAGGACGCATGCACAAAAAGACGGGGACGTGGTCTGAAGGCTCATTCTTCGCGGTGACCTCCCAGAAGACACCAGTGTTCGGCCTATGGTCCAGCAGGGTGGGGGTGTCCAAGTTAATATATATCCGGTCGAGCCTTGCATAAGACTGACGACCACGGATAACTGCACGATGTGTAAACGCAGTCTGCTCAACCTCGCTGTATGACGGGAAGATATGGTCAAAAACTGTAGCAAGCCTGGATGGTGAGGGAGATGAGTGCGGAGGAAGGACGTAGTACCTGGTTTCACCCTGCTCGTGATAGTTGAAATCACCCATGATAATGCTGCATGCCTGAAACTGAGGAAGGAGATGATGTGAGAGACGACTGAGAACGTTACGACTATAGCCTTCAGACCAGTCTGGATCCAGGTGAAGCCCCGACAACTGCAGGATGCCTTTGCTCCCGACAAGCGTGAGGGAGAGGATGCGACCAGGTATGCACTGATACTCAGAGACAGAGTCGAAGAGCGAAATCAGAGTTTTCCTGACAAGGAACACAATACCCCCAGCATGAGCGTCCTCGACAAACGACCCGAAGACCAGAAAGTCCTGATAATCTTTCTCCAGGGCACTGAGGTCCCCCGACTGACCGTGCGTCTCCTGTACACAGATTACATCCATTTTCCTCGAGAGCCTGGCCAACGCTTTAAACTTTTTGACGCCATGAAGGAAGGGGGTGGAGAGGGAGTGAAAAAGAGTCTGAGCATTCCACGAGCACATACGCAGCGGCTGCACGGGAAGAAAAGGCTTGGCCACTCTAGGGCCAAAGAGATCGTGCTGGCAAGGGCCTACTGTACCCCCAGTAGACCATGACGCTGGAGGGGAGCTGGAACTTGAGGAAGACAAGGTGGGAGGCGATGGCGACATGGCAGTAGTAGGCGCAGTACTCCCAGGACTGCAGGTACTTGGCGCCAACGCCGGTGCCGATGAGGAAGCAGCAGGGGTCGCAGAAAGAGACAAAGAAGAACATGAATAGTCATTGCATTCCGAACCAGCCTCCGATGAGTGTGACGATTGCGTTTGCTAGATATATGCACCACGATTGTTGATGTCCGCCATGATCGTGGTCAGCTTGGCTACGTCGATGACGAAGTGGTCGCACGTAGGTTGGTCCACGTCGAAGGTGAAGGCGGCGCGATTCACATCCGTGCATGTCACCAGCGGCCATACATCTTCCCCGTCAGTCCAATGAATGGTGCCCTTGTAGCCATTGATGATGGGCTTGCTCTGCGGCGTGTACTTTGGGCTCTCGGCGAAGAGCTCAATGATCGGGTCCCAGCATCTGCTGAGGGCGCGCTGTGTGGTTCTGACATCCTTCGGCAAATCCGTCCGCGACTTGAGAAAGTGGATCCCACCATCCCTGGGGTCTTGCCATGTGGCGTTAGCATTATTGAAGACCTCCGAGAATTCTTTGGCCAGGGCCTCGCTGGTGAAGGTGAGACTATACGACTGACTAATCCGATGGAACTGAGGGGTGACGTTGTTGACCATGATGTCCGTCATGATCTGGCTCTTGACCTGCTCAAAGTGCGCTTGTCGTTTGCTGGCGAGCAGAGGTCTGGGGAACGATCCAATCCATCTACGGCACTTGTCGAATGAGTACGACCGAGAGTTGAGCGGACCTGGTGGTGCAGAGTCGCTTGCCTCATGTTCACCGTCATGTCGGTTGCGTTTGTGCCTGGGCTCGCTATCCTGGCGTCGACTCTCTGAAGAAGAAGAACTTGGCGCACCCGTCGAGCTGGATGCCCTAGACTGAGCCTGCAGGATGGCGATCGCGGCCGAGTGCTTGTTCACCGTCTCCTGAACAGACTTTAGATGTGCCGTCTGGATCGCTATGGCAGCATTCTGGTCGTCGAGCCTCAGGTTGACAGAGTTGGAGAGCACCCCGAACTGCTCGGTGAAGCTAGCCTGAATGGAGGTCTGCATGGCCTGGATCTGCTGTGAGATGCTGGCATTCAGATTGATCTGCATCTGATTCATGAGCTCTGTCATGGAAGCGTCCGCCATGGCACGAATGAGTGCGATGCGCACTCGGACAAAGAGGAGAAGATTGTGTCCGCCTGGGCTCGCGCCCAGATCGCCCTCTGAAGAGAGCTGCCCGCTCAGTGCGAATGGGCAAAGGGAAACCCGCCTGCCGCTGTTGGCACTTGAGCCAAAATGGCAACGGAGGAGGAGGAGGAGGAGGAGCAAGAGGAGGAGGAGGAGGAGGAGGAGGAGGCGGAGGACCTCCCCATCCTCCCTTCTCCCCCGTCCTACCTATGGTAGTGGTGGTGGAAAACTGGCCCGTCAGGAGAAGAAGCAGAAGCAGCAGCACCAGGTCGGGGGCGACGATGGGGGCGAATAGCCCAGCGGAGAGCGATACATGCATCAAAAAATAACGATAATCCATGCCTTCGGCGAGGCTTCCGGGCGAATACGCGTGAGGCCCGGCTCTGGTCAGAAACCATGCAGGCAAGGCAGGGCGAGGCGGAAAATGATACGATGAACCAACAGTCCAGACTTGGCCTCACGATGACGGGCTGGAGACGGGCAAGAGAGTAATGAGAAAGGGAGGAAAAACAGGAGGGGAAAGGTGAGGGGAAGGGGTGTAGGCGGATAAGAAGAATGGGAAGCGGGGCAGGGGATGTGGAACTCGGAAGGGGAAGAGGTGGTGAACAGGAATGAGTGGGAAGAAGGAAGAGGTGGGGAAGAACAGAAGGCAGAGGAGAGGAAGTATGAGGACGGGAGGATGGATGAGGAGGCGGGAGCAAGGAAATTGAGGTGGGGAGGGAGATGAGGTTGGCAGGAGACAAGTAGAGGAGGGAAGAGGAGGAGCAGGAGAAAGAGGAGGAGGACGAGGGCGAGGAGGGAGAAGGGAAGGAAGGGAGAGGGAGACGGGAGGGACCAGGAGGGCAACGAGGCAGCATGGAAGCCGAGGACAAGGACGAAGAGATCGACAGGCGCCCAGGTGCGCCCGCTGGCATGTTTTGCACTGCTGGGAAAGATGCACGCCGTTTCACGCCAATCCCCAACGCACGCCGTTTCACGCCAATCCCCAACGCCCTCGCCAATCGCGAGCACTGTGCATTCTGTGCGGAGCCTCTGCACGCCACGGGCCCGCCCCAGCGGCTTACCCTTCCTGCGCGGAGCGTGGATCCCAAAGCGGCAGTGGAGAGCTGCCGCCAAGGGGAGCTGCATCACTCCTTGGACAGCTGCTCCTTCAGCTCGTTGAGCTTGTCCTCGATCTCCCAGCACTCCTCCTCCGAGAGGGTCTTCTTCTTCTTGCCGTCCTTCAGCTTCTTCTCGAGATCCTTGATTGCCTAGAAGAAGAAAGCAAACGCCATCGACATGAGCTTTTGGCGCTCCGCGCGGTGTTCTTGGATCTGCGCTGGACCCCCCTCCCTAGCGCGCGGAGCGCGCCAGGGGCGGCGCCGGAGGCGCCGCCCGGAAAGCCCAGCGCGGATCCAAAGAAACCCACGCGGAGCGCCAAAAGTTTATGTTGATGGCGATCTGAGCTGCCCCGATACGCAACACGCAACACGTAGCGTATTGATACGGAGCTCAACACGTAGGCTGAAAACGTAGGTCCGACGCGATACATTCGCCAACACGTGGCCCAATACGTGGAGCCAACACGCAACGCACTGACACGGACGTCTTGAACACGGGGCGTGTTGCGTTTCAAAACGGGCGTATCGAGGCAACCAAGATGGCGATTGCTCTTCTGCGATTGCCTTCTTGGCATCCTTCGCGCTGAGAGACACATTCTTTTTGACGTCGATCTTGTTGCCGGCGCCGTCGTAGACGTCCTCGACGACCGTGTTGCCGCCCTTGTCGTCCTCCGCCGCCTCGACGGACTCTCCCTCGATGCGGAGGTAGCCGCCCTTCATGATCCACTTCTCGGTGGCAACGTTTTCACAGAACTCCTTTGGGCAGCGCGCCCGGAGGGGAAAGGAGAAGGAGAAGGCCTCCTCAGAAGGCTCGGAGGTCCCCCGGTCTTCTGAGAACTGTTCTAAGCCTTCCCTGAGGACACAGAACACTTCTCAGAATGCTGGAGGGCTTCTGAGGAGTCCCGCCATCTTCTGAGAAGGCTTTCGCTTTCTCACTTCCCCCTCTCGCTCGCCGCCGATCCTTGTTGTGCGAGATGATTAGCACGCCACCCTTGTAGTCCTTGATGGCCAGCACCAGGGCTCCAAGGCCGTTGCGGTCCAGGTAGTTTGTGGGCTCGTCGAGGATGAGGACGTGCGGGTTCTGCCACATGGAGGCGGCCAAGACGATCTTGACCTTCATGCCACCACTGAGCTGGTTGATCTGGGTGTGGGAGGCGGACTCGGGGTCCACGCCGAAGTCGCCCAAGTGCTTCTCCACAGAGGGCTGCGTGAGCTGCTTGGTCATGAGCCCTGCCATCGCCGCCTGCCTCTCGTCCTCGCGCTGCACTATCTTCAGGTAGCCCATCTTCACGAGGGTATCCTTCTCCACCCAGGTGGTCTGGTCCATGGCCTTGAACTGCCACTTCACCTCGTACTCATAGGTCTTCTCCTTCTTCTTCTGGCGGCGGTTCACGCACGCGTCGGGGACCACCGCGCCCGCCTCGTCGATCTTGGCCTTCTTAGCATCCTCCTTGGGGTCAGTGCACCTCCTGACGTTGCCAGTGGTCGAATCGATGCACCACTTCGTCGCCCTGGCCTTCTCCTCGTCCACGGACAACTCCGTGCTCTTGAACTCCAGGCTCTCCTTGTCGTCGTTGCCTGCGAAGCGCCACATGATGTACTGCGTGGGCGTCTCCTGCATGTGCTTCTCCAGGTGGTGGAAGGCGTGCTGCGCGACGTAGGCCATGCGCAGGCCCGAGGCCTTCCAGATGGTGCCCTCCGTGGGCTTCTGCTCTCCGACCAGGACCTTGATGGCAGTGGACTTGCCCGCGCCGTTTGCGCCAATCACGGCCACGCGGCTGACCTGCGAGACGGTCAAGCTGACGTCCATGATGGTGGGCTTGTCCTTGGTGGGGTACTGGAAGGTGACCTTGTCCATCCTCAGGATCACCTTGCTTCGGCTCTTCACACCCTCCATGGCCCCGGGCTCCGGGAAGACAAACTTCATGATCTCGTTGCTGAGCTCGAAGTACGACTTCTTCTCCGGATACTTCTCGACGAACTGCGTCAGGGTCCTGCCCTTCTCGCCCTTGAACGTCTTCAGCTTGCGGTCCTGGAAGTCGATGATGTGGGTGCACATCTTGTCGAGGAATGGGGAGAAGTGCGACGTGCAGATGATGCTGCCAGTGAAGGACTCCAGCCAATCCTCCAGCCACTTGATGTTGTCCACGTCCAAATGCCCAGTGGGCTCGTCAAGCATAAGCACGTCCGCGTTCATCAGCTGCGCTGCGCAGAGTTGCATCTTCATCTTCCATCCGCCAGAGTAGGAAGTGACGGGGTTGTCAAGGTGGGCAGCGCGGTCTGGGCCGCCAGGGTAGCCGAAGCCAGTTTCCTTCATGACCTCCTTCGCCTTCTCCTCACTCACAGGGTTCGCAATCTTGTAAATGTCGTTGCACGTGTGCATGACCCACCACCACCCTGGCTTGTCCACGCTCAGGATCGGGAAGCCGTCGTCCTGCACTCCCACCTCCTCGTCCTCGATCTCGTGCTCCACGAAGATGGACTTGAGCTCGTCACGCTTGGGGAAACCTTCAAGCTGCTCATTGGCGATTGCACGCATGAGCGTCGTCTTGCCGCACTGGTTGGGACCGAGGAGCCCGTAGAATCGGTCGCGCTTCAGGTGCATCTTGGCGTCGCGCAGCAGGGTGAGAGTACCGTATGCAAGGGAGAAGCCACCCTTATACAGATCCACGCCCTCCGTGTCCTCCTCCTCGACCTCCTCTGCGGGCTTCGATGCGAGCTCCATCTTGGTGCGAATGTCGTCGATCGCTTCGCCGTAAGGAGCACAGATGGCGATGCTCTTCTTCCACGCCTCTGGGTCATACGAGCGCATGTTGGTGGCAGCGGCAGCTAGGGTAGCGACGTACGACAACGACAGCCTTGCCTCATCGTCAATCTTGCCGCCCAAGCTGGACTCAAATAGTGCCGTGGCGCTCTCCACAGTCGCATGCTTGAGCTCCGCGCCCGCGGCGGCCTTGGACATCGTGCCGTACGCCCTCTCGGCCACCGAGCGGGCCTCAGGGTCTGAGATCTTTTCCACGGCTGCCTTCACCAATGGCTCTAGCTTGGGCATCACCGGAACCACGGCCGCGGGATCCTCCACCACCTTGCACATGTTGTCGACGATGAGGCAGCACGTGCGCTTGACCTCCTCGGACTTGTCGTTGAGACCGCGGGACAGCACGGGCAGCATGACGGCCAGCGCGGGGGTCTCGACGTTCTGCACGAAGATGCAGCCGGCGAGCTTCTCCACGCACTTGTGCGTGTTGGTGATCGACGGAGGAGCAAAACAACGGCATGCCCAGCACTTCCCTCCGAGGCCCGCGCGGGTGTCATCCCCAAGCCCCTGCAGACGGAGCGCTAGCAAACGGGGCGGCAGTCCAGGGGCCCCTTCAAGCGAGAACGGGGCGGCAGGGCATTTGCTTCGCACTGGTGCGTGATAGGTCGGGACGACCCAGACGTCGACGCACCATCCGAACTCTCGGCGGGGGTAATGGCCTCGCACTTGTGCGCGGCAGGCCAATGTTTTGAAAACGCCACTAAAAACGTACCCTCAGCTGCCAGCCCATTTACTAACGCCCCCTTTGCAGGGGCTTGGCTCTTGCACCGGCGCAGGGCGCGCCAAGGGCGGCGCCGGAGGCGCCGCCAGGCCGAGACGCCTACACAGGCCTCGAAGGAATCATGCTTACGGCTGGGCCTAGGGCAGGAGGACATCCCCCAGGAACACGAGACCCTCCGCTGGCCAAACTGAAGACCTTTCTCAGACACCCTGGCGGAATGAAACAATCAGGACGGGAGGTTTTCCGCTATGTTCGGCCCCTGGGGGCCCCCTCCAGGCCCCAGGAACGTCAAAAAACGGCTCGTGATGAAAAACCAGTC